TGTATTGACTTGGAGTCTCTGAAGTGTAATCTCTGAAATATCTTTGAGTTATCTTTGTGTTTATTTTGTGTTTATCTTACGTGATTATTATTGAGAATAATTCTTCAACGTTATTGTGAATCCTCATCCATGATTCCTTAAGTAATTGTCTTAGTTTTATTTACCCTTTTGAGATTTTATTTGAAATTACGAAATCTAATGTAACAACATATAAAATATTATGTAATTATTTATACAAATCCTTTCAAAAAAATGTTAATTATATAGTAAAGGATTGCATTACTATTTTTTTTGCTAAAAACTGTATATTTTAACTTAATTAGTTTCATATTTCTGAATAATATATATAAAATATTTTTATATAGCTTTAAATTATAGAAATTATTATTATTATATAGTAAAATATCATATTTTATAAGCTTATAATTTTTAATTTTAATCTAACCATTTCGCATAAGCTCTAAAAGAAGGTTTATTCGCTAAGGTTTAGGTTTCTTAGCTAGTTTTTTACGTTTATCAAATACAAAATGGAATATTTGTTTAAAAAAGAATAATAAATAATGATAATATGTTCTCTGCTGTTAAGTGAAAGATGAAGTAGTCTTAACATTAGTATAAATGATTTAATTTTTTTTGGAATAGTAGATTGTCTTGATATATGTAAATATATCAATACTTTTCTAATAAATAACTGTCCAAGCCAATCAGCAATAATTGAAGCAATTTGTTTTTCCAAATATTTTGTTTTCTCACTTATATTTAAAATAATTTGTAATACATTTAAATAATCTTACATTGAATGTAAATATTACTCTTTAAAATCAATTAATTGAAATTTATTCATTGATCTTTCATTCTTTCTCTTTATAATGGAATTATCATAACTATGAATAGTTAAAAGTTTAATACAATCAAATATATTAATGTTTTAATATCTTTGTGAAATCTAAAATGACTGATGTTCTGTATATGTAATATTAAAGATCCTAGTATATTTGTTAAGCAAGTACCAACAAATTCTTGATGCTTTAATATTATTTAGATTATGAATAGATATCCCATTAAATACTATTGGTATTACAAGACATCTTATAATAGATTTTGCTACATAAGTAACAAATTGCTTTGCTATTGATGTTGATATTGTATCTGACCTTTGCTTTTCATAAATATTATAGTAATCATCTATGTTGTAAATATGTAACTAGTTTCTCTAATAAAAAAAACAACTTCTCAATTTTACAAATTATAATATCATAATATATATAATAAAAAAACCTACTTTTTCTAAAAAATGGTTATCAATTTTAATTATATGATTTGCTTGAATTTTTTTTTGAAAGTCTGCAACTGTCTTGACGCATGCTGAATATCTAAAACTTAATAATATATCAATTGATTCTCAAGTAATACCTGATATTACTAAATATAACCTAACCTCTATTTTGAATTAATTAACAAATTTGTTACACAAGCTAAAAATCATATAATATAAAGCAACAATTGATTTTTTTGCTTCTTATTTGTTATATGCTAATCAATATTTAAGAATAATTGTGTTTATCATCAAAGAAAAGAATCCTATTAATCCAGGATTGGCTTTTCAATCATATATTGAAATTGTATTGGATTTAATTTCAAATTAACAGACTTCTAATGTTACTTATTATATAATATATTTGTTAATAATTTTACATTTGATGTAAATATAGAATCATTTATTAAAATTAAATAAAAAAGATTAATAAAATTAGATATTAATAAGAAATTTTTATAATTAATATTAATTATATTATCTTAAATACTATTTTTTTAACTAAGTGAGACTCTTCATATGTAATTCTTTTTTTATAGTCTTTTTAATCCTTTAATTCTTTCTTTCATTTATACTATATGTTTTTATAATTAGGCTTCACTACTTTGCAATAATATATATAACAAAGCTGTTTTCCTACTTTAAGGTAAGAATATATTTTTAACATATTTTCCTTATAACATTTTTAGTATGTAAGTTCTGTAATTAAGCAAAAAATATCATTTTTATATGTGCAATTTACTATTGAGCACAGTACAAAATTTTTTTTCTCATATTTCTAAAATTGTTAAATATTAAAACATATGAGTTTAAATAGCAATTCAAATTTTGTGTACAATTTTTGACCAATCACAGTTATATTAATTATATGTTGATTACTTTTAATTAGAGCTAATTAAAAAGAAATTCTAGATCAGTTCAATTTTGATCGTTCAGTTTTTTAATCAGGTTTTGAGTTGATAAAGATTGACTAATGGGATTATGTAACTTGATCAGTGACCTGATTTTACTAAACTATAGAAAAGTAGAATTTTTTTGATCATTTTTGTTAACAAGTAAAAAATACACTTTTAAAGAAACTATGAATCAAGTATAAAGTAAAGAAAAAACTTCTATTAAACACACTAATACTTCTAATACTGATTTTACTGATGCTTATAGACCTTTAAAAAAGAAAGTACTTATACATTTAATTAGTATAACTTTATGCTTAATTTTGTCTAGATCAGTTTTTGCAGAATAATAGTAATAGCAGGTTCTTCCTCAATAGCAATAAGTTCTTTCTCAATAACTTGTTCTTTCTCTTTTTCAGTTGCAATATAATTTTTCTCAGCAATAACACACTTTTTTTCAACAGCAATATGATCCTCAATTATATAGTTTAACTAATACTTTTCTTCAATAATGAAACTTGAATTTAAGTTCATTTGAAATAGAAAAGGAGAGTATATATTTTAGAATTTTTAATTACAAAAAGATATTAAAAAGGACTATCAATTAATTTATGAAAAAAAGAATGAGGGTGAGGTGAAGGAAGAAGAAAATTATGATCAAAATCACAAAAGGATATTAAAAAGGACTATTAATTATTTGATGAAAAAAGAATAAAGGTGAGATGGTAAAAGAAAAAAATTATGATCAAAATCAAAATCCTTCTGATAAAAAATCTAGAAGTAAATGGAAACATGATGAAATTAAGGTTTTACTTGACTATATTCAAGAAAATTACTCAGCTTAATTTAAAGAAAATAAGTCAAAATTTTATAATGATATAGTAAAGAATGTTTTATCTAATAAAGAGTCAAAGCAATTAAAAGTAAATATTTCCTTACTTTTTTTCTTATTCTTATTAAATTATTAATATTTTTAATTATTTATATTTAAGGTAAACTTGCTTGATTAATAAAGAAGTATGAATCCATTAAGATACATAATAATCAAACTAATAAAGAGCAAAAAGATTGGTATTGGTATGATAAAAAAGATATGATTTTTAAAATACATGAAAATATAAGTCTTTCAGTTTTAGCAAATAAAGAAACAGAAACTGATATTAAAGAAGAAATTAAAAAGAAAAATTGTAAAAACAAAAACCTAAAAATAATATTAAAGTTATGGCTGTAGCAATAGCTGAAATAAGTAAAACACGAGAAAAAATTTGAAAAAAAAAGATGGAGATAGAAAGGGAATAGATAGAAGTTAAAAAGGAAAAGTGGGCATATAAAAGAGAAGGTCGAGAATGGAATTTGAGTTAAGAATGAAAAAAATAGAATTGAAATTGCAAAAAAAAAAATAATATGTTTTAATTTTGTATATTGACTTTTGATCAAATTTAATAAAATTTCAATTTAAAGACATTAAAGTAATTGGTTTATTATTTGATTTTTTTTTAATTCTCCTGCCTTTTTCAAAGAATTTTCATTTAAATCATTTAAATTATTATTATTTCCATCATTATCATTACTATTACTATCATTACTATTACTATCTTCACTATTATTATTATTATCATTATCATTATCTAAATCATTATAACTATCATTATTTATTTTTAAAAAATTATATAAAATTATATAACATTTAGTAAAATGAACTGCTATTGATATTTTTCTAATATTTAAGTCTTTTAAGTAACTAAATCTATTCTTAAACCTATCAAAAGCATTTTTTACTACTACATAATGTAGAGAATATTTAACATTAAATTGTATTTGCAAATTATTTTCAGGATTAATAAAGGGTTTAATAAGAAAAGAAGATAATGGATATGCTAAATCTCTAAGTAAATAATTCCATTCTTTTAAAAATATAGAAATATATTGATAAAAAAAAGAATTTCAATATACCTTTATATCATGAACAGATTCTGATCAATCTATTTCATAATCAATAAAGATACTATGATAATCAACAATACCTTAACACTGAATTAAATATTTTTTTTTACGATTCTAATATATTTCAGGCTGCTTTAATAGAACAGATCTTAAAATTATGTAAATACTATCTACAGTACTAATAATATTATTAAATCCTCCAATATTATGAAATCCTTAATGAACCATTCTTCTTAATTTATCTGTTGACTATTTAACTAACTCATTTTTTAACAAGAGAATTGCAATTATAACTCTTTTATAATAATTGTAATTCAATTAGAGCTTGTTGTCTATTACTATTTGATTGAAAAATTGAATGTGACTTAATTTTTGATAAAAAACTTTGAAAACTTTGAGAATCCATTCTCATAATTCTTTTAAATCTAATATCATCATATTTAAGAACAATTATATGCCATCATACTTGAGATTTAGTAATATTATATATATGGCTTTTAAATAATGAGAATCTAATAAAGAACATAATTTAAGAAAAACTACTTCTTCTTCTTCTTTAACCTCAAACTGTTCTTCAAAATCATGTCTTATCATTAGAATTCTCAAAAATCTGGTTTAATTTAATAAAATACACTAGCAATAAATCTTTGATATTTTGATAATATATCATTAATATAAATTATGGAAAAGAAAAAAAAATTTTTTTTTAATAATATTTTTTAATATTTTGAAAAAAAATTTTTTTATTATACGATTGATCAAATTAAAGATCAGAGTGCTCAATTTTGATTTTGATCACATTTTTGAATTAGTTAACGAATTTTGCAATCAAAAATCTGAATGATCAAAATTGAACTAATCTTCTGTTATGCTGATCTAAATCAATAAAAAAAATTTTTTTTTTTAAAAAATTTATTTTTAAAACTTTTTTTAAACAAAAATGATAATAATCAAAAAGATTAGAGAGAAAGCAAAAGCAAGATTAGATAAGATAAGAGTAGAGTTAAAGAAGTTCAAGAAAGGAAGGATGACAGAAAGTGGTTGAAGAAGTTGAGAAGAAAGTTGAATAACAAAAATGGGAGAACAAAGAACAAAAAAAAAGTGAGAAAAAAGCGTAAAGGAATTTGAAGAAGAAAAGAAATTATTGGAGGTAGAGAAGAAGAGGTGGGGAGATTAGGTGGAGTATTTACAAAAAAAACTAGTTGAATTTAGAAAAGAAAAAGTAATGAACAAATTGCGTAAAAAAAAATTATTTTTTATTCATTCCATTTTGTTTATTTATTTATTTATTCATGAGACATTTGGTATATTATTTGTAATATTGGCTAATCTGTGCTTTTTTTTTTATCAATCTGCATCATTTTTTGTAATTATAGTTGATAATCTAAATGTAGAGAAACCTAGAAATAAAGAGTTATATAAGGATTCAGGTTTATCTTTAATAACATTTTGTTTCTTTAATCCTGCTCAATTATTGATACTAACTAATATTTTATACAGATCTGAATTATGCTTTCCAAATTGATTTCAAAGAACTATATCAATTATATATTATTTTTAAAGAATCAATTAAGTAAAATTTCCAAATCTCCTGAAAATTACTACAATTACTTACCTATTGTTCAATCATTAGAATATGGTAAAATAAGATCTATATGTGAGCTTGCAAAATTACATCTTTTAATATATATATGTTTTTGTGATAAAGGCTTAGCTGAATACTTCCCAATAATACTAAAAAGTGATATTATGCTAAAAGAAATTAAAGAAGCAACAAATATAGAAATTGCAAAAGAAATGGTAAAGATATGGCTTAAATTAATGATATTTGTGTTTTATAAGATAAAATTGGAGTCTTCAAAATTATTGATAAATACTGTAAGATGATATATTTTTCCCTGTTAATATTGTAATATGTGATTAACGTTATTATTTAAATTTTTTTTAAAATTAGTGTTACGGTCAGTTCTTTAAGATGCTTATGAGTGATAAGCAAAGCAATATATATAGGTGGTAAGCAGAAGATTTAATTTGATATTTAGATTTAGAAGAGTGTTGATAAATTAACAGTTTATTTAATAACTAT